ATTAGTATGTAATTAAGAAAAGACTTAGAAAAATAATGAAAAAGAAAAATTACAGAGAAATTATAGTATTGTTACAGATAATTAAAATTAAAAGTTATAGTAAAGATAAATGAAATAATAAAGCAAATTTTTTTATAAAAAAAGAAGCAACTTGTAAATTATAATATATATAGAGAAGGTCAAGTCTAATAAGATAATGTATTATTTAGACTAAAAAAACAAGAAAATTAATATATTGGTAAGACTTTTGTATAAAATAATACCAAATACTAAAATTAGAACTAGTTGGAAAAAAAATAAATATAATAAGAATACTAGAACTAGAAATAAATAATATATTATATAATTAATCAAATTTCTAAAAAGAAATAGATAAAATAAGAAAAGTTTATTATATTTTAAGAAAATTTAGTATAAAAGAGTCATAGCAATTAAGTACATAATAGACAGCCTAATAATACTTAAAAAACTAAACAAAAAAAGATTAAAAATATATACAACTACAAAGTATCAGGTATGCTAAGAAAAGTAAAAAGAAACTCAAATGTACTTAGCAAGTTGCAATGAATAAAAAAATTTGTAAAACCAAATTTAACAAATAATAACAATAATAGCATGAAATAGAAATAAAAAAAAAAGATAGAATCTTATTACAAATATTATATAAAGTACTATTTAAAGAAATAGAAATAGAAAAAATTATGAACAGAAAAATATTGATAAAAGAGACTTATTATACTAAAAATAAAAAAAAATTTAAACAACTCTTAAATAAGTAGGCAATACAAAATGTATTAACATAGTAATAAAAACAGTATAAAACATTTTCTATAATCAAATATAAAGAGTTTAATATAAAAAGATATAAGACTAAGAAAAAAAAATCAACAGAATAAATAAAATAAAAAAAATGTTTATATAAGAAAAAAGTTGGAGAAAAGAAAAAGAAAAAATAAACAAACAAAATAAGAAAAAAAAAAAAATCAAAAAAATCAAATCAAATAAAGAAAAAAACTTAGAAAATAATTAATATGTTTATTATAAAAAAGAAAAAATTCTTTTAATATAACTTTAAGTAGTTAGATAAGCAGTTTATTTCTAACTAAGATAATGTACAGATTGCATTTAGATATTATTAAGATGACTAAATAATACTAAATTTAGATATTAAAAAGTTCTATATAATTGTATATATATATAATTTTAAGAATTTTAATAAAGTATTAGTATAGATGTGATAACTTAGTGAAATAGTTAGGTTGTTAACCTTTCAAGTGATAGATTAAATATTTAAATTTCATTGATGATAAAAAATTTGAATAATCACCTATATAATACTTGTATTATAATAACTGTTACTAATAATTAAGTTAAGATACCTGTAATAACAGTTATATCAATATAACTAGCAGGTCATAGGATATTTGTATAAATATGTCATTGCATAAAGAAATTCAAATAAATAATTAGACAATACAAACATTAGATAAATCCTTGTAATCATATAAATTTATTGAAATTAGATAACAAGAAGTTTATTTGAAAAGACCCAAATAAAAAGGTAATCAGATCTTTGATAACTCTACTATAAAGACTAGTTCTATAAAATAGATATCAAGATTATAGTATTCAGACAGACAAGAATCTTCAAATTAAAAGTCTTAAAGATATCATTAATTAAACTATTAGAATAAACTAAAAAAAAAAGATATTGGATCAATCTGATATACTTATGAATTGATTATAATTTTATATAGGTTATCTGGATTGGAAGTCTGATAAAAAGACAAAAATATACTAAAATATTTTAAATATGCTATGAAGTAGATGTTAGGATCTATATAAACTTTACAAAAACATAATAGTTTAATGATTAAATCCTGATCACAAGTGTTAGTTCTGCTATAGTACTACCAAATCAACTGTAAAAATAAGTACAAAAGACTCTGAGAGGTTTAGATTAAGAATAAAATAATCTTAAGATTGAGATTATTACAGGGTTGTAGCCTTCTTGGTACAATACAACCAAGTAACAAGGTCACCCAGTACAGTGATTGATTATTGCAAATATATATGGGATGGAGGTGTAGTAGTTTACTTTATTACACAGTAGCAGGCAAACAGTTCGAGATAGTAATAGTATATAGATTAACTTTTATTAAATAAATACACAGTGACAACCTTGCCTGTAGGAATTATCCTAGAGGAGGAATATCACAATTACAAGTTAGAGGTAAAGGTAAAAGGGTCTAGGTTGAAGTATAGGAACTTAGAATTGGCAGGGAAGGGTAAAAGCTACCCTTTATATATCTTTTTACCAAATGGAAATAGTGGGGATTCGAGCAACATTATTTGATACTGTATTCAGAATAATAGGGGTTCAAACAACATTAGATATCATTGTAGTTGGGATAATGGAGGTTCGAACAATATTAGATATCATTGTAGTTGGAATAGTGGAGATTTAAACAACATTAGATATCATTGTAGTTAGGATAGTAGAGGTTCGAACAACATTAAATAATACTGTGTTTGAGGTAGTAGGGACTGTATAGAGGCAACTGGAGATATTGTTTATATCATTTGTCATTCGTGCTTAAAACACTTGAAGCTTGTGTTTAGGCATTTGGATCCATGCAAAGACACTTGGGATTTGTGCAGGGATACTTGGGGTTCATGTAGGGATACTTGGGGTTTGTGTTGGGAATACTTGGGATTCTTGTGCTGCAACACTTGGCACAGTAATTTGGTGCTAAGATACATGAAACTTGTACAAGAGTACTTGAGGTTTGTAAGACAGTAATAACATCACAGATGTTACTCAGTATCATGTAACTATACCATATTGCTAATAACCAATTAAGATCCTTTTTATCTATCTACTATATAATATAACTATCGATTAACTAATAACTAATAACTAATAAATATAAGATATAAAATATAATAAAGAATATATATATAACTACTAATACTATTTATAATATACTATGCTAAAATCTACTTTGTAACAAGAAGATGATCTGAGCATCTGAGTATAACCTAGTTATATTAACACATGTTGCAAATTTAGAAAGTTTAAAATAAAATATTCAAGCAGGAATGTTAGATATAACAATTGGTAAAAAACCTTTGAGCAGACTTCTTAAATAAGTAATATAGAAAAGTTACATATGTAACCAATTGTATGCTCTCCTGTAATGGTTCATATAATCATATTACCAAAAAAATCATTAATAAAAATCAAAAGACCAAAGAAGTCATCTTAACACCAAAAAAAAAAAATAAAGTACTAGCATAACTACTTAAGGTTAAAAAAAAAATAATAATAAAATAATAATAAATTGACAATTGTTCAGTACCGTTATGAGTATTTGGCTCTTTTAATCAAACTTTGATAATTCATTGGGTCATATTCCTCTACCTTTAGTGCAAGTATATTTCAATTTAGGACTAACCCAATTGCATATGATCCAAATGATCTTTGTATCACGCCAAAAATGATTAAATTCCCGTTTTCAAAATTTCAAAATGTGTTCATTATCGATATACCGATATATATTTACGATATTGTTAAAATGGTGGAGGAATTAGAGGGTTCGCAGATCAATAATAAAAGTTGTGCACTAGTGAAATGCAATATTATTAATTTAACTGTATAAACCTTATAGACTTGGAAATTAGAGAAAGAATTTTTGAAACAGTTCTAGAAATAATTAATAATAAAGATCAAAATAATTCATCGATAGAATCATTACTAGTAAGAGTTTTTCTACGTGTATAAGGGATTAAATTTCTTAGTTCAGATTTCTCTTGACAAACTTTTATATAGCTGCCATTAGGGCTAGGAAGACCGATATCACGCGAGGATGTGTTTAGAGAATTGGAAGAACGTTATTTGACCCCAAGAACGTCATTCCCAACTTCATGGCTATCTAAGTGTCAACAGTTAGTAATTAATTCACATATTATTCGCGAAAGTCCCTGCTTGTATCATTAAAATTCTTAAATCCTCTATATTAAGATACTGGGAACGTGACCCTGATTTTATATCACTTACCTCATTGAAACCTTCAAAATCTCGGACTACTTTGGAAATAGTACGAGACGGACCAGAAGGAAATATAATCGGTTATAAAGAAGTATATAATTTATTTAATGAAATAGGCTTATTAAAATAGCATATATTAAAATCATCAATATTTAATTAACTTTGCAAATCTGTTAGGTAACAATTGGGGAATCCATCATTACTTCTCAAAATTCAACATCATTTTTGCGTGAACCTGGTGCATTGAAGAATTTTGTAAGGGGAAAGTCCAGTTATCTTCCGTTTGCACCTGGTAGAATACTTTATGATAAACGTTATTTTCTATTTGACCATTCTATGAAATAATTTGAAATTAATGATTTCTCCAGGTGGATTGGAATCCGAAGCGATTATTGATACAATAAATGAAATTGCTAAAGAACCTGATGTACTGACATTTGGGGAAGGTTTGTGATAAGAGGTAGTAATTGCATCGGTATTAATTGAATTTTATTCAAATCAAGTTTTTTAATCATAACCCATCGTATTGCACATAATATTTTTTGGATTACGCCTTAAGATGAATTATTAACAGTGCCTCCTGGATTCGAACGTGGTTTAATTCGTGAAGGTATATATTATGACTAAATTTTATTATCATTTGTCATTAATTTAATTTTAAGTTTAATTACTTGATTTATACGCCAATGTAGACGAACTACCTCAATCAAGCCCGACGCAGAATAAATTTGTAGCGGGATTAAATATTACAGACATGATAGTACATGAAGAAGATGAACTTGTAGAACTCCTTGAACCTGTTGATGAGGATGTTTCAGAAAAAAGTTCTAAAGTAATATCAGCATCTCTATAATATTTAAAGTATAAATGTTTAATCCTTTTATATGCTATATAGGCTCAACCAATAGCTGACGATATACCAGATTTAAAAGTCATACCTCCAGCTAAAGATGAAATGGAAAAAGTTTTTGACAGCTTTTTGCCCACACAAGTATGTGTTCATCTACATATAGGAAGTCGACATTATCCAGGCCAATTGTTTTTATTAAATTTTTCTTAATAACTTAAAACCAATTTTGATAATTTAGACCCCTTTAATTCTATAAGTTTGCACAATTAACAAAAATTATGAACCATTAAAATAGGTTAAATTATTATAGCTATTCATGTTTAAAGGTTGAAAAAAATTTTGAATATGTAAAAACGATTGACCTGGGTTATATTGATTTCTCCGTATCATAAATTATTAAGTAGATATTTTTTTTTAGCCACCACTTCTTGAGGGTTCAAATGTGCCAACTAAGTCGACAAGTAATACCAGTAATCACAAATGGGCTCATGTTGTCGATATCAACGATGATCTTTCTAATTTCAAAGACTTAGTACCAGAAATGGCGCACGAAGTATATCTTCCTTATATAATTCAAATTTTTGTATTTTTATTCTGGTTTCATTTTTTCTTAGTGTTCTTTTTTTCTTTATTTAATAGTATTCATTTGAGTTGGATAATTTTCAAAAGCAAGCAATATATCGTCTTGAGAATGGTGATTCTGTATTTGTAGCTGCCCACACATCGGCGGGAAAAACTGCCGTAGCAGAATATGCTATCGCCCTTTCAGCCAAGCATATGACACGGTAAAATGAAGACTAATATTTTTTATGCTTTTAGTGATTTAACTAACATTGTAATATTATTATCTTTATAGTGCAATTTACACCTCTCCGATTAAAGCGTTATCTAATCAAAAGTTCTATGACTTTAAAAAGATTTTTGATAATGTTGGGATTCTTACCGGTGATATACAAATCAACCCTGAGGCCTCTTGTTTGATCATGACCACTGAAATTCTTCGGTCCATGCTATATAGAGGCGCCGATCTAATCAAAGAAATTGAGTTTGTGATATTCGATGAAGTACACTACGTAAATGATTCAGAGGTAATTTAAATTCATTCACTGGGATGTATTTGCTTCAAAATTTTAATACCAAAATTTAAGACATTCATTATATAATTCGAAGCGTGGTGTTGTTTGGGAAGAAGTCATTATCATGCTTCCTGAACATGTTCATCTGGTCCTTTTATCAGCAACTGTTCCAAATACCGAGGAATTTGCTGAGTGGATTGGGTTTGTAAACTATCCTTCATGTGTCATTAATTGCGGTGGCTTGTACTGGAGTTGGCTGATGCTGAAACTAGGAATCCTTATTTAAGTCGATAATACCTACTACAATTCGCATATATCTTTCAGTAACAACTATAACCCAAAATCCTAACCCCCCCAAAAAAAGATTACAGGAAAGGCCCCCAAAAAATTTTATAGTTTTATAATAGGATAGGTCAAAATTTCAGCATCAACTGCCGCATGAATGAATTTCACATATTAACGACATCATTTATTATAGTCGAACCAAAAAGAAAGATATTTACGTGATCAAAACACTCAAACGACCCGTGCCACTTGTGCATTATTTGTATGCGAATAAAGAGATTTTCAAAATTGTAGATGAAAAAAAAAATTTTCTAAATACAAAGTGAGTTGTTTCCTCATGTGTTATAATGCATTTGCATTCATTAAATTTAATGTGCTATTTTAGTTGGAAACAGGTCAACGATATACTGTCAAAAAAAGATAAGAAAGAAAAGGATTCTAGGATAGGTACACGTGGTGCTCGAGGAGCGGTGCGTGGATATAGAGGTGGTGGTGGTGGAAGTTTCCGCTCATTTCAACAGGTAATACCCTTTTTTTAGTTTTTGATCTACATTATCATAGGAAGTCTAGCATAGTAAATTAAGGAATTAAAATTGTCAACCATTAACTTATTTAGGATAAAAGCTTATGGAGCAATCTTATTGGTCTCCTTAAAAAGAAAGAGCTTATTCCTGTTGTCATTTTTGTTTTCTCCAAAAAAAAATGCAATGAATACGCAAATTTCTTAACTAATCTGGATCTTTGTGTTGCACGTGAAAAAAGCCAGATTCATACAACCATCGAAAAGAGTTTAACACGATTGAAAGGTCAGTTTTAGAATTCTGTTTACTATTATGCAAGCACAACAGAATTAATTGCTATCGTTTTGTGTATAGGATCAGATAGAAAGTTACCACAAGTATTAACTATAAGTGAATTACTGAAAAGAGGAATTGCAATACATCATGGGGGATTACTTCCAATAATTAAAGAGGTTTATACGGAACTATCTTTTATATTTACGTAATTGTTTAATATTTAGAAAATTTTATATCTAGTTGGTCGAGATATTATTTGAAAGAGGGCTGGTGAAAGTCCTTTTTGCAACGGAAACTTTTGCCATGGTTTGTACTTCTTTTCTCATTCAAGAATTTTGTTCATAATTTAGATATATTCACATTTGATATTGTTATTTAAGGGTGTTAATATGCCTGCACGAGCAGTAGTTTATTCTGGAATTAAAAAGCACGATGGTAAAGGAGTAAGGGAACTAAATCCAGGTTAAAAATTAATGCAAATAGTACAATCAGTTTATTATGTTATTAATCTGTACTCATTAATTTTCTATATTTCAGGTGAATATACACAAATGTCTGGACGTGCAGGTCGCCGCGGAAAAGATAAGACTGGAGTAGTAATAATAACATGTACAGAAGACGAAGCACCTAGCGTAAGTTAATAAATACATTGAAGCATTCTCTGATTGTATGAATAAAAAGACAACACACATTCTTAAGAACATTCTTATAGAGGATTTAAAGGTTAATTCTAAATCAGCATGTGTGTTTATAAAATGATATAGTTCATACGTTTATAGAGTTATCTTTCTATAGGCACAAGTGTAGAATTTTAATATGATTGGTTATTAATGTCTATTCAATTGTATATTATTCATACAGTTTAAAGCACTTTTAAGAAATTAAAACTATGAATAACAGAAAAAAAGGGGCACATAGAAAGTTATATCGCAGTTATGGAATTCCATTATCAAATTTATTATTCTGTCTTTCCAAATCAGATGATTTTAAAAATTAATATTTATTAATATATCCTATAATCCAATAAAATTCTATGTGCCTCTTTTTTATTATATTTAGTTTTATTTTTTGAAAAAGTACTTTAAATCATATAAATATATAATTAAATAGAAATCAATAGTCACTCATATGAATTCTTACGATGATAGAAAATGTATATTATATGTTCTTAAATGAATCAATATAATTTGTAGCCGTCGGTTCTTAAACGGATGATTTTGGATCCGCCTGAAAAATTAAAATCTCAATTTCGCCTTAGATATAACATGATTCTTAACCTTCTGCGTGTTGAAAATTTACGCGTCGAAGAGATGATTAAACGTAGCTTTTCGGAGCATTCAACTCAGATATTATTACCTATATATAAACAGTTGTTAGATAAGGTAAGGAATGGATGATATATATACTTTAAAAGATTTTATACATGAATATATCAATTATAATACGTGTTTGTCTTTTAGAGCGAAAAATCCCTTAGCTCATTTCAGAAGCTGGATTGTACAATATGTAACCCAGATATAAAAGATTATTACGATATTTCAACTAGGATTTTAGAATTAAACCATAAACTTTTAGGAAAAATTATATCAACACCACAGGGGAATAAATCTCTAAGTCAAGGAAGAATTGTGATAATTAACAACAGTGTATGAGCATTTGTCTGACATTTAAGTTCTACTATGTGGGTTTAATTATATATAATGTATAATGTTTATTTTTAGTCTTACAGAAACGTTGTTGGTACTATCCTAAAACCTTCATCCACAAAAAGTGATCGCTCATTTTGGGTTTTTATGCTCTTAGGGGATAACATGCTAAATGCTGAAAAAGGTAATTCATTTGGATGATTTGATTAATATATAATTACGTTTTTTTATTTCATATATATCCGAAATTGATTAATTGATAGCTCCTTTACCGGTCACCCGAGTTTTTATTCCTGATCAAAGTACGTGTTTCAATGAGATCAAATCTCTTCGTTACACGGATCTTGCCATCATTACAAAATCCGTAATTAAAGTAAGAATTGTAACTTTTTTTTTTTGCATTCTTTTAAAAACTTTGGCTTTATATTAAACATAATCTTTTCAAATATTCTTTAGCTGGATCCTGATGCTGCAATTGAACGAGATCATGAGGAAACATCTAGAATAACACAAGAGTTGCTGCGTTACGCAATAGAAACCCAAACAGGTATTATATCTAATTTCATACTTGGCAGCGATGTAATGCTATAACTTTTAATGATTACCGACTAATCAATGGTTTACTCAGCTGGAATTGTTGAAAATGAATGGACCAAAATAAAAGAGTTTGAATTTCAAAAATACTTAGGAGAAAAAACTGAACTGATGAATAGATTGCTCAATTTCCAATGCAATTTATGTCCTGATTTTGTTGAACATGTAAATTTAAAAATTATAGTTGTTATTATCGGCATGTTATATGTCATTAACGATACTTTATTAATAGTATGGACATGTCCATGCTGAACGACTCCTTGAAATTAACCACGAAGGTTTAATGAGCTTTATGTCGAGCCAAAATCTTGCATTATTGCCGGATTATACTCGAAGGACTAAAGTATTGGAGAAATTACAACATATTGACCAATATGGTACCGTACAGCTAAAGGGGCTCGTCGCATGTGAGGTTAATGCTCCCGATCAATTTGCAATAATAATTGATTATTATTATTATTATTATTATTGTTATTATTATTATTTTATTATTATTAATCCTTTTTCATAACTAAAGATAAATTCAGCTGATGAACTAGTCCTAACCGAACTAATCTTTGAAAATGCTTTCGCTGATTATGACCATTCGGAAATCGTAGCATTGTTGTCTTGTTTTATATTTCAGGAAAAGCTGGAAGAACAACCGGAACTTATTCCTAAATTAGAAGAGGTATGTAATTGGCTCCTATGTTGATTCAACAATTTTCTAATTTATGCTTACATTTATTAGGGTAAACAAAAAATTCGTGACTTCGCACTAAAAGTATTTGAAGTACAAAAACAATGTAAACTTACTGATGATGCTGGTGATGCTAACGTTATTAATGATAATGTTAATCTTATTTTTGATGACGTTATTGACGTTAATAAATTTAACTTTGGCCTCGTTGAGGTAGTTTACGAATGGGCAAGAGGGAAGGTATATATAGGTCATTGTATTTTTTTTTTTTTTTTTTTTTTTTAGTTATAGTTCATATTTACAACACCAATTTATCCTTCAGGATTTTATATTTATAAAAAATCTCACTGAAGTAATGGAAGGTTCAATTGTTAGATGTATTACTCGATTGGATGAAACATGCCGTGAAGTAAAAGACGCTGCAAGAATAATGGGAAATTTATCATTATGTAAAAAAATGGAGGAAGCACAAAGTTCAGTAAAACGTGATATAATATTTGCTAAAAGTCTGGTACGTATTGATAATTTTTATTTTTTGAACAAAGATATATTAATCTTTATTATTAATATAATTATCACTATTATTATCACTATTATTTAGTATTTTGATTCATAAAAATACAAAAAACTTTCATCATATTTTGTTTTGTGATATCGGATCATTACTTTTTGTGCTGTTACATTTAGTAATATTAGATATCTCTGGACCTTAATCTCGACGTTTATATAGATTTTTTATGTTAGATCTATAAAATTGTATACTCTCAGATGATGAACAAGTCCAATGCTACAAAGCAGGAATAGCAAAGCTAGATTTGAATATATAGTCATGTTTTTGTGTAAAACTACATATATATTTAACGAAATATTCAGACTTCTTTAAGCTTTTAAAAATTCTAAGCTGAATTCTAAAAAACTATTTCAAAATTTATCATGAGCGTAAATTTTTATTTAAACGAGACAAAATACTATTATAGTAAATATTCATACGTATTAAGGTTGTATAATTTTAAATATTAATACAAAAGCAGTTCATATATATAGGCTGTATTATCATTTTTGATACATAATATATTATAAAATAAATTAAAAAGCTTATTAATAATATTAAATCTAATGAATGTTATTTTAAACTATACTTTTAGAATTATATATACTATAATATTAAATTTTAAAATCAAAATTATTATATATTAATTAAATATTTTTCTTATTAATTTATAAAAAATATTTAAACTATTTAGTTTTTAATTTATAATTTTTTTTATTGTATTTTTTTTGGTATTAAGGTAAGGTCATGTTTATATCTTTATTGTTAGTTTTAAAGTTAATGACTATATGGAATTACTATATATAAAAATAATTTTATATAAATGTTATAATCAAGATCAATATTTACAATTAGGATTAATCATTAAACTACTAATTATATAATTAACTTAAATACAAATATAAAAGAAAATTACATTTAAAAATAAAGTTAAGATATATTTATCTACAACCTAAATCTATCAAAGTGGTCAAGACTTTTTTTTTTTTTTTTTTTTTTTTTTAAGGTAAAGTCTTGCTTGTATCTTTATTTTTTTTTAAAAAATATTAATGATGAGGTCATGCCTTTAACTTGCTTGTATCTTTATTAAGTAATTTATAAAATAGTAACATATGTGCAATACATACATTTCTACTATTTGTACTAGTACAAATAAAAAGAAAATTACATGCAAGAATAAAAGCTCAGACAATTAAATAAATCTAATTTATTTGCAATCTAAACCTACTAGAGTGATCAAAAACTCACCTAGATAATATTATTTATAATTAAAATAAAATTAGAAGTTGTGTGGTACTTAACTTACAGAGTAGCCCAAGTACTAATTTTTCTAAAGGCCTGCCCAACAAGTAGACAGATTCCAGTATGTGAATGGAGTTGGTCAAGTTGATTGCAGAAACAAGAATATGTAAAATTATGACAAGTATGTATATTATTTCTACTGTAAGGAAATGAGCTTTGTTGTATAGTATGTGTATTGGTTATTTGTTGTTGTTTTTTCCAATTTGAACAGTAGGGTTTCCATAATTGTTTATAGATTTGTTTATTAATTTCAAGCAAAATATTAATCATAATTGTTAATGTTAGTTTGTATAAAACTTCTAAGTTCTGTATAGTTTTAATTAGAGATAAAGAAATAAGACCTTTGAGAATAATTTCTAAGTAGTATGAAGATAAGTGAAGAGGTGTTTCTTTAAAGGCTGAATGGTCTTTAATTTTTTGGATAAGTTCTTTAGTTTTATTGTTAGAGAAATCTAAATTGGTTGAGTTTATATAATTAGTTATTGTATTGGAAATGATACTATCAAAAAAAGAAGAATTAGCACAAATGCACTAATGTAATAATGACATAATTGAATTGCAATGAAAGCAATTGACATCATGAAAGGTTAGAGGATAGATTTTATAATAGAGATATTGAATAGGTAGTTTATTAAAAAGTATTTTAATTTTAAATGATTTGGATTGGTTAAGTTTAAAATTAATAAGGTTGTAGATAGATTTTTGATTATGATTAAAGTATAGCCAGCTTGAATTCTAGTTAATATGATGGGCTAATAGAGTCTATTTATCATTTCATTTTTGTGATGACCATAGTTCAAGGTTATAAGCTTTACAGATACTTTTAACAAAGTATCTGATAGGAAGTTCAACAGGAAATTTTTCTGTTTTAAAGAATAATAAATAATATAGGTTGTAAATATTTGTATAATTAAAGTATAATGATGATTCATTTGTATGTTGCTTAGCAAATGAGTCTGCTAGATTGTTAAGAGTATTGTCTGAGTGAGCTTGAACTTTATGAAAAATGATATTTGATTTGTATGATTTAATAATATTTAATAAGATATGTCATAATAGCCAAGAATTAAATTTAAAAGTTTATTAGAATTTAAAAGTAATTAATTGAGTTGAATGAATTTTGATATTATGGATTGAGAATCTGTATAGATGTTAATTGTAGAATTTCAGAAGGTAGTTGAAACTGCAGACAAAATAGAGAAGAGTTCAGTCTTATAAGAGGATGGCCAGAAATAAACTTTGGCTGTGAATTTGTGGATAACTTGGTTATTAGAATCCACTTGAACCCAGCCAATATTTATAGTACAGTTATTTGTACTTATACCAATTACTGAACCATCGATATAGAAGTTAAATGAGTTATATAGTAGGTTATTAAAAAATATTTGATCAAGTTTGTTAGTTGTATCACTTATTTCAAAAATTGTAAAAGAGATGAAGTTGGAAATAAGAATAAAATGCAATGATAGTAGTAAGGAATTTGGTAAAGGTCATTTAATTGTAGCAGAACTGAGAAGGTCTAGGTAGTTTGCATTTATTTTAACTAGCTTGAAATTATTTTATCAAAAAATTGAGCAGATGTAATAGATAAAGTATTAATAGTGCATGATGTAGTTATTCATTGTGAGTTAAGTTGACAACCTGAACAAGGAACAAGATTAATTTGTTAAAATAGGTAGTAATCAGTACTGTTTATATTAATATTAGTTTACCAGTATGTGATTGATATTTGGTTAGAGTCTGTAAGATGTTTATAGATTTTGTCTATAATAATTTTCTTATTATTGAAAGTAATTAGTCATGGTTTATGTTTTTTGAGAATATTATATATGTTATATATGAAGAGATTAGTTTCTTGCTGTTGGTATTGAAGTTTGAGAAAGTGATGATGATGATTTTCTATAATAAGATTTTCAAGTTCAGTAAACCAGATCAGTTTTCTGTCTTTAGATAAATGAAGAAGTCTTAAAGATAGATATAGTTATTCAAGAAATATAGTATTGTTTAAGATGCAAAGTTGTTCAAGGTAAAGTAGGTTTAGTTGTCTAAGTTGTTTTTTAAAGGTTGTATATTTGGAATAATGTTGGAGAATAAGTTCAAGAGGTTGAAGTTGATAATGAATAATGTTTAGCCATAATGTATTATTATTAGCTTTAATAAAAACAGCAATTTGTAAAAATAGTTGAATGATTTTAAAATTAAGAGTATGTTTATCTTGACCATCAACATTAGGTTGAGGATGTTCAAGAATGTTTATAGTAGACCAAAGGTTGTTTTAAAGCTGTTGTAATCTAATATGGATAGAAACACCTAGTAAATAAGGATCATTAATTCATTAAAGAAATAAAGTAATAATTGTATATCCCAAATATTATGTATATTGTATAGGTAGAAGTGAAGCATTGTACTATTAGGAATTGATCGAGCAAGGTAAGATTTGTGTTTAGCAACTATAAAATATTTGGCCAATATGTGATTACATATAGTTTTGGGAAGTATAATATTATATATTCTGTATTCTAATGTTAGAATAATGCCTGTATTAATAATATAAGTAATTTGTTTGTCTGTAATGTTTTTTGTATTTGTGATATTAATTAGTTAAAAAGCTTCTTCTTGAATTAATTTAATTGTATGAGTTTGTTTGTTGTTAAGTGTAAACCAACAACCTAAGTATTTAAAAGATTGGTTATTAGGAATAGAGTTAAGAATAGAGTTGAGAAAGGTAATAGAAATGGGTTTGGCATTTGTGACAAATATTGATTTGATAGGATTAATCTAAAGATTGGCTATTTAGTAGAAGGATGCTGCCATTTGAGTGATTTGTTCTAATTTATTTTTGGATTGAGCAATCTATAATGTGTCATTCATATAAGCAAAAACTGAGGTAAAGGCTTGAAGATGTTAATGTTGAGGAGATTGTAAACTGGTTTTTTATAATGTTAGAAGAGTATAGCCAGTAAATTGAGATGCAATTTTGTAAATAAGAGAGTTATAGTAAATATACCAAAATAATGATATTATTGTTTCTTCTTAATCAATTTCATTTTTAACAGAATATGAATCTGTAAGTTCAAAATTAGTTATGACTTAGTTGTGATGATCATTAAGCAGATTAATAAGAACTTCTACTAATTTAGATAACATATTGATTCGTATTAAAGATTATAAAAAAGGTTAAAGTTTACTGAATCGTAAGCTTTGCTTATATCCTAAGATATAAACCAAAGTTTTTTGGAATTGCAAAAGGCTTCTTCAATTATATTATTAAGTATATAAATTGGTATTGCTGTACTGTTACCAGGAAGAGCAATATAGTTATAAGAAAATAATATTGGATATAAGATAAAAGTAGAGTTTAAGTGGTTAGTAAGAAGTTTAGTATATAATTTTTTAATATATTCTAAAAGACTAATAGGTCTGGTATTAGTTAGACTTCCATTAAAGATAGGTGTTTTGGAAATAGGAAAGTTTTTTCCTTCTTTCTATTGTTTGGGTATACTGTTAGTTGAAATGCATCTATTAAATAGAACAGTTATAGCTTGAAGAAATAGTAAACTAGCATGTTTAAGCATTTAATAGCTTATGCCTAAGGAACCACAGACTTTATTATTTGAAAGTTTTGCAAGTGTATTAAAGATTTCTTCTTCAGAAAATTC